GGTGATAGCGGGAGGGGACCGGGATCGTGGGTGAGGGAGGGGGGCGATACCGGGACGGGAGATGGACACAGCGATGGGACCGGAGCAGGGGAGACACGGGGACGGTGTGCGCGGGGGGGAAACCGGGATGGGACTAGGGGTGTCGTCCCTTGGGCTGCTCCCGAGGGCCGGGGTGGGAGGCGGTGCGGCGGTTGGTGTGACAGTGCCCTGTGTCGTTCCTCTCAGTCCCCCAAGAAGGTGGGTGATGACATCGCCAAGGCCACGGGCGACTGGAAGGGGCTGCGCATCACGGTGAAGCTCACCATCCAGAACAGGCAAGCGCAGGTACCCAACGCCAACAGGGACGGCCCCGCGGCGCCGGCGCCATCGCGCTCCGCTTGCACCAACCACCGGCCAAAAGTCCCGGCAGGGTCCACTCAGCCCTTCATCCTTCCGAGGTGGATAAAATGAGTTCCACACAGTCTCTGTGTGGGGGTCTTCTGGGCAAGACCTTAAAACACCCGCGGGAGCCTTTGGAACACCACTGGCATGTGTGTGTGTGGGGGCCTCTGTGTGTGTGTGTCACCAGGCTGAAGCATCCCAGCCCCCAGGCCACAGGAAGGGATCCGTTTGGGGCAGAGGTTGATCCTTCATCCTGTTGCAGATAAATTGTTCCTTTTATGGAACACCTCAGCAGGACAAAGCTGTGTCTTAACAACACAGAACTGGCAAAGCCTCCTCCCGTAGCCACCCGCCACTATGCCTGTCCTCCCTCCCGTGGCTGGTATATTCCAGTGGTGAGCTGAGAGGAAGGCCCAGCCCAGGAAGCAGTCCTCTTCTGGCTGTGGGGAGGCCTGTGCCGAAAGGCTGGGAACAGGATTATGCGGCATAAAAAAGCCTAATGTGCTAGAAATGTAAAGGTTGCCCAGAGAAGCTGTGGCTGCCCCATCTGCTGCCTTATCAAGATTTCCCCAAAAATGATCTGAGGGCTGGAGCCCCTCTGCTGTGGGGACAGGCTGAGAGAGTTGGGGGGGTTCAGCCTGGAGAAGAGAAGGCTCCGGGGAGACCTTAGAGCCCCTTCCAGTCCCTCAAGGGGCTCCAGGAAAGCTGGGGAGGGACTCTGGATCAGGGAGGGGAGCCATAGGACGAGGGGGAAGGGTTTGACACTGAAAGAGGGGAGATTGAGATGAGATGTGGGGAAGAACTTCTTTGGTGTGAGGGTGGTGAGAGCCTGGCCCAGGTTGCCCAGAGAAGCTGTGGCTGCCCCATCCCTGGAGGGGTTCAAGGCCAGGTTGGAGGGGGCTTGGAGCAACCTGGTCTGGTGGGAGGTGTCCCTGCCCAGGGCAGGGGGTGGCACTGGGTGGGCTTTAAGGTCCCTTCCAACCCAAACCATTGTGTGAAAACTAACCAAGCCCACAGTGCTCTGGCGAGTGGCCACCTAATTCTGCTCAGAGGGTGGGGGGGAAAGATTAATCTCTCTTCATTTAGATAGAGGTTGTTCCTTCTGCCTCTGCTCTGATTATCAAAGCTCTGAAGGAGCCTCCTCGTGACAGGAAGAAGCAGAAAAACAGTAAGTTGTCGTCTGGCTTGAGTTCTGAATGTGTTTTGGGCTTAACAAGGGAGCATGTACCTGCCTTTAGATTATTTGCCATAAACTGGCAAATGGGTTCTGTGGGGCTGTCCCTTGGGGTGGGGGGAGCTCCTGAAGCGGCCAGGCAGCAGTGTGTGGGGCTCAGTTCCTCAGAAGATGGGGTAGGACAGCCACCTGCCACTGTCCCCGTTGTGTCATGCAGCGAGTGGCGCAGCCTGGGGGTGAGTGGGGAGAAAATGCCCACTTAGGAAATGGTTATTGTGGGTAACTTTGTGCTGGGCTCTGGTTTCCGTGTGATTTGAGTGTTGGGAAGGGTGCATGGGGAAATGGAGGTGCTCTGTGTTGACATGAACTGTTTTCCATCCCAGTTAAGCACAGTGGCAGCGTCAGCTTCGACGAGATAGTGAACATCGCGCGGCAGATGCGGCACAGGTCCCTGGCCCGGGAGCTCTCGGGTGAGTGAGTGCTGCTTTTTGGGGTCACAGAGCCCTCCCTCCCCTGCTCTGCTTCCCGGGAGGGCCCTGTGGCTGTGGGCTGGTGGTGGAGCTCCTCGTGCACCACAGGGCACTGGGCACCACAGGGCCAGCACCCAGCCTCACACCTTCTGGGGAGGATGGTGACAGGTTCATGTGGCACTTTCTGGTACATTCCCTGGAAACCAGTAGACGAGACCTGTCTTGCTGTCCCCTGGGGAGCCCTGTGGCTGCAGCCCCCAGAGGGAGGGAGGGAGAGCTGAGGTGGGAGGAAGGGAGTTCTCTGCCTGTTCCTCAGCGTTTTCCCTGTGGTGAAGCCCTGACAAGGTGTGTCTTCCCCCTGCAGGGACAATCAAGGAGATTCTTGGGACCGCCCAGTCCGTGGGCTGCAGCATCGATGGCAGGCACCCACATGATATCATTGATGACATCAATAATGGTGCCATTGAGTGCCCAGCTGTAAGTAGCCATCTCTGAAACTTGCTGTATCAGACTACTTAGTCCAAGACTTTCCACTCATGAGCTCTATTTGCTTCTTCCAACAGAGCTAAGGCTGCAGAAAAGAAGTTGCTGTGTGAAGGCTCCTCAAGTATTTTGTAACACCTTAAATACTTAATAAAAGACCCAGTTGTCTGTAAAGAGTTTGTCCTTGTCCCACACTGCATGAATAGCGGGTTCTGGCTGGGTTTTAGTGGGTTTTTCCCTCTGCACCAGCCAAGGTGATGATTCTTGTACAACATTCAAAGCTGGAAGATGCTCATTTCCCAGTTGCTGCCCTGCAGTCAGTGGCTTGGGGCTGTGCTGAGCTCAGAGAAGCAGAGTTGCCTCCAGCCAGTTCTCCAGTACAGAGTGAACAGTGTAAAGCTTCCTGTGGGCTCTTGCCAGTGCCAGAAATGGGGCTCAGAGCAGGGGGGTTTGCCCTTCCTTAGGACAAGTGCTGCAGTAATGGGTCTGCCTTCCCTTGTTCCCTCCACAGCCGGGACACAAACACACCCTGAGGCTTGACCAGGGCTTTTCAGGCTGCTCTTGGCTCTGTGGGGTGAGAGGCTCCCAGTGCCTCTTTGAAATGAAGCCGAGGTGTGGCTGTTCAGTCACTGTCCCCAGGGACCGCAGGAGAAGGGCTTTATGGCCCTGGCAGGGTGTACCTTGGTGTGTTATTACCAGGAGGAACCTCTGGTCTTGGTGGCATTTCTGTTGTAGAACAGATCAGATTGTTTGCTCCTCAAGCTTTTTCTCCTGCCTTGAAGCAGAGGAGATACTGGATTTTCTACTGGTGACTGGGACAAGTACACACTTTCCCATTCTTGAGCTGAGTTTTTGTGCTTTTATTTCGGCCCAGAGAAGCTGTGGCTGCCCCATCCCTGGAGGGGTTCAAGGCCAGGTTGGAGGGGGCTTGGAGCAACCTGGTCTGGTGGGAGGTGTCCCTGCCCAGGGCAGGGGGTGGCACTGGGTGGGCTTTAAGGTCCCTTCCAACCCAAACCATTGTGTGAAAACTAACCAAGCCCACAGTGCTCTGGCGAGTGGCCACCTAATTCTGCTCAGAGGGTGGGGGGAAAGATTAATCTCTCTTCATTTAGATAGAGGTTGTTCCTTCTGCCTCTGCTCTGATTATCAAAGCTCTGAAGGAGCCTCCTCGTGACAGGAAGAAGCAGAAAAACAGTAAGTTGTCGTCTGGCTTTAGTTCTGAATGTGTTTTGGGCATGTACCTACCTGCCTTTAGATTATTTGCCATAAACTGGCAAATGGGTTCTGTGGGGCTGTCCCTTGGGGTGGGGGGAGCTCCTGAAGCGGCCAGGCAGCAGTGTGTGGGGCTCAGTTCCTCAGAAGATGGGGTAGGACAGCCACCTGCCACTGTCCCCGTTGTGTCATGCAGCGAGTGGCGCAGCCTGGGGGTGAGTGGGGAGAAAATGCCCACTTAGGAAATGGTTATTGTGGGTAACTTTGTGCTGGGCTCTGGTTTCCGTGTGATTTGAGTGTTGGGAAGGGTGCATGGGGAAATGGAGGTGCTCTGTGTTGACATGAACTGTTTTCCATCCCAGTTAAGCACAGTGGCAGCGTCAGCTTCGACGAGATAGTGAACATCGCGCGGCAGATGCGGCACAGGTCCCTGGCCCGGGAGCTCTCGGGTGAGTGAGTGCTGCTTTTTGGGGTCACAGAGCCCTCCCTCCCCTGCTCTGCTTCCCGGGAGGGCCCTGTGGCTGTGGGCTGGTGGTGGAGCTCCTCGTGCACCACAGGGCACTGGGCACCACAGGGCCAGCACCCAGCCTCACACCTTCTGGGGAGGATGGTGACAGGTTCATGTGGCACTTTCTGGTACATTCCCTGGAAACCAGTAGACGAGACCTGTCTTGCTGTCCCCTGGGGAGCCCTGTGGCTGCAGCCCCCAGAGGGAGGGAGGGAGAGCTGAGGTGGGAGGAAGGGAGTTCTCTGCCTGTTCCTCAGCGTTTTCCCTGTGGTGAAGCCCTGACAAGGTGTGTCTTCCCCCTGCAGGGACAATCAAGGAGATTCTTGGGACCGCCCAGTCCGTGGGCTGCAGCATCGATGGCAGGCACCCACATGATATCATTGATGACATCAATAATGGTGCCATTGAGTGCCCAGCTGTAAGTAGCCATCTCTGAAACTTGCTGTATCAGACTACTTAGTCCAAGACTTTCCACTCATGAGCTCTATTTGCTTCTTCCAACAGAGCTAAGGCTGCAGAAAAGAAGTTGCTGTGTGAAGGCTCCTCAAGTATTTTGTAACACCTTAAATACTTAATAAAAGACCCAGTTGTCTGTAAAGAGTTTGTCCTTGTCCCACACTGCATGAATAGCGGGTTCTGGCTGGGTTTTAGTGGGTTTTTCCCTCTGCACCAGCCAAGGTGATGATTCTTGTACAACATTCAAAGCTGGAAGATGCTCATTTCCCAGTTGCTGCCCTGCAGTCAGTGGCTTGGGGCTGTGCTGAGCTCAGAGAAGCAGAGTTGCCTCCAGCCAGTTCTCCAGTACAGAGTGAACAGTGTAAAGCTTCCTGTGGGCTCTTGCCAGTGCCAGAAATGGGGCTCAGAGCAGGGGGGTTTGCCCTTCCTTAGGACAAGTGCTGCAGTAATGGGTCTGCCTTCCCTTGTTCCCTCCACAGCCGGGACACAAACACACCCTGAGGCTTGACCAGGGCTTTTCAGGCTGCTCTTGGCTCTGTGGGGTGAGAGGCTCCCAGTGCCTCTTTGAAATGAAGCCGAGGTGTGGCTGTTCAGTCACTGTCCCCAGGGACCGCAGGAGAAGGGCTTTATGGCCCTGGCAGGGTGTACCTTGGTGTGTTATTACCAGGAGGAACCTCTGGTCTTGGTGGCATTTCTGTTGTAGAACAGATCAGATTGTTTGCTCCTCAAGCTTTTTCTCCTGCCTTGAAGCAGAGGAGATACTGGATTTTCTACTGGTGACTGGGACAAGTACACACTTTCCCATTCTTGAGCTGAGTTTTTGTGCTTTTATTTCGTCACGGAAGAAAAGCAAGTCCCTTAATTAAGGGTGAAATCCTGTGCCCCCCTCAGAGTTGTAAAGGGCCCAGTGTCATGTTTCTTGAGTATCCCAATTCCTTGAATGGTGACACTGGGGGAACAGGGTAAGCAAGTCCTATTGTCCCTCTCCACATGGTGTTGCAGGTTCTGGTGTGTTCTCTGAAAGAAAAAGCAGTGTAAGTGTTGGCATTTCCCTTTGCGTGGGCATTTTGTACATCCAGCACTGCTGCTTGATGAGAAATGGGTCCCAAAACCTGGCTGAGGCACAGAACTTGTGTTTTGGGGTGAACGTTCTGGAGCTGCTGTGTGCAGAAAAAAGGAGTTTCCTGAAGGAAAGGCAACTTCCTGGGGGTGGCAAACCCAGCAGTGAGAGGTGTCTGTGCCCGATGGGGTAGGGCTGGAAGTACAGCTCTGGAAGAGCGTGGTGAGGAAAGAATAAAAAGTTTAGCTTTGCTTATTCAAAATGAGCTTTTCTTTGGCAAAACTCTTAAGGGGGACCTTGTAAACACCATCTTGGGGATCTCCTCCAAGGAGGATGGTGAGGAACCTCTTTTAAGCTTGGCTACAGCACATTTAACCCCTGGCGCAGTTCCCATGTGCTTCAGCCTTGAAATCATTGTTCTTCACAGTATTTGGCACTTGGTTTTTGCTGGAAGCTCGGCGCTGTCACAGGGGGGTGGGCA